CACATCACCACTGTGCCGTGATGGCTGGCAGGGTTGATAGAGGCTGCAAGGTGCTGCTGAGCAGAGGTTTGTCACCTCTGAGTGCAGTCAGGGGTGCAGTGAACAGAACTTGTGCCTCATCCCACACCTTGTGCCCTAAAAGCACTAACCTGCATAAATCTGTGGCTAGCAGATCTTCTGGCAGTCAAGTTCAGGCTCCTGCTGCTGCCACATGTGCAGCTGTAATGGTGTCCAGTGCTCAGGAGTGCCTGGATCATGCCCTGGAGGGCAGTGGGCAGGTAATAGCCCTCTCTTTTCTCACCAGTGGAGAGCAGATATGTGCAAAGTGGGGAGGGGAGGAATCTTGACTGGCACAGAGAGCAGTGAACAGGGAGGCAAACTGCTCCCTGCAGCACCACTCCCTCTCATTCTCCAACCTCATGGCTGCATGGTGAGTCCACTACTTTCTACTCTTTACATTTCCTAACCACATCAGGCTTTAACCCCACCTCTAACACAAAGTCTTTGTGTTTTGCAGTTACTCTGAAGCACTCCAGGCTTTGGGAAGAGTCCAGCCCAGGGATCAACACACAAGTTGTCCCATTTTTTTTTTTTACCACCATGAAGAGTCCATCAGGTAGGTCCCAGCCCAGGAAGGACGAGCAAGAGATCAGTCGTAACACTAGGGCAGAGTAATATGGTGGTGTTCCCACAGCAGTCACCATCCAGCTCAGGTGTCCCCTTGCAGTGGGCAGGGTGGGCTGGATGCTCCCAGGTGTATGCAAGAGCTTTGGCAATGTCACCACTGGCACTGGTGTGCTGGGGGAGGGAGGATTCCTTGATAGTTGCTCCCACTGACCAGCCTGGCTTTGCTTGCCTGTACTACCCACCCATGTGAAGGGTAAGAAGTACCCAGTGAGGTCTCTGGGCTCATCCTGGTGATGACAAGTGTCACTAGAGAAGCTCCACGGTGACAAAGCCACAGCACGACCAGCACGGCCCAGGCTGGGAGACATGGAACACAGGAGAATTTTAAGAGCCTGAGTGGTGGGAAACATTTTTGCTAGTCCTAAATGGGATATTGGCTGTGAGTCCAAACAAAACTAATTGGGGCTCAGGAGCTCACAGGCTGCTCAGTTCCCTGAAGGATGGTTTATCCCTGGGACAGTATTATAAACCTTGCTGGGGGACCTTGCTGCAACATCCCCACTGAGGAGCAGCAGGTGTCCCCACCACTCTGGCGAAGAGAACCATCAGAGAAGTGGCTAACATGGGCCTTGAGATTCATCCACAAAAGAGGGGGATGAGGTAAGAGGAGGAAGCACACAGCACATGCCTGCGTGCTCACGAAACAAAACTCTGACGTGTTTCACTCCTTTGATCTGTCGTAGTCCTCCAGCAATATTTGCCATGTTATGTTTCTTAGACACTGAAACATTTGGTCATGGGATGTTTTATTGCACCCTCTTCTTCCTCACTGGTCCTTGCATCTGATTTTCCCCACTGGGATTCCCTTGGCCCCTCAGAGTAACTCAAGTTGCATCCTCCTGGGTACACTGCAAGCCCCTGAGTTCTGCCAGGAAAGAACAAAATGATGTCACTTCATAAAGGACAGGCCATAAAATATGGAAGAAGGGTGAGAACTGTCCCTTTCCCCCTTTACACATGGCTGTATCAGCCTGCCTGTGGTGCCAGCAGCCCTGGGAGAGCGGGTGGTGGAGCTGCTGCAGCAACAGCTGTGAGAGGCAGAGTTTGCCCCTGCCGGTTGCTTTGAGAACGATGTGAAAGCTCCTTCCATCCACTCAGTGTGGCTTGTATTTGTGCCGGGGGCTGGTTCCTCACAGTCAGGCTGTGCTATAGTTCCATCTGACCCTCCCTTGCTACCCACTCCAGAGATGTCACTCACTCAGGAATGACGCTCAGAGACCTTGACTTAACCCCAGGACTTGGGAGGACTTGCCTGGCAATTCTGCCTACATGAGGTCATTTTTTGAGTTTATATTCTGATAACTGGGGTAGGTTTTGCATCTGGTGGGCTGCACGCTCCGGAAGAAACTGCCATGTCTTTGGCACAAGTTATTGGGCTTTACAACATTACCCACAGCCACCACCATCCTTCAGGAAGGGACAGGAGCATTTCTTGGTACCAACTGGGCTTAAAAATAATTCTGACCAATACAAGCAGCTTGAGAAGTGATGGTGAAAGAGGTGTCCTAGGATGTAGGAGCAGGGTCAGGCCCTGGTTTCTGTGGAGGTTTGCCAACATCCTGCAGAACCTGCTGCTCCCCATTTACACGGTGCCTCTGCTTTACCCTGTCTCCCCACATCAACACTTTGAGGGGGCTGATACTCTCCCTGTTTTTTGATGTGTCGGAGCTGCGTGTCAAAGGGTTCAGGCTGGGAGATGGCGAGAGAGACCCCCCCCTGCAGCCTTATCCTCCGGGGCTCCGGTATGAAGTTGACTGTCAACATCTTCATACTTGGACATGCTGCTCATTGCGGGTCTGCAGGTGTCTCTGCTCTCTTGTGATGGTGCTTGGAGCTGCCCAGGGTCCCTTTCCCTACCAGCCCATCCTCTGTGCCTTCAGTGACTGACATTTCTACTTTTTGGTGGGATACCACTTGCTGCAAACGGCAGATGCTACTTGCCCGTGGCTGCAGACCTGTGTCTGCTGTCCACCAGGAGAATGAGGCCTGAAGCTTGGATCAGTCCAGGTCACCTCCTTCTCCCCCCACCTCCCTTATCATTCCTGGAAATGCCATAAACAGTGCCCTTTCTGTCATTAATCTCGTGGGGATGTTGTTACCTGCATGAGTCACCTGCTCTCAAGGCTCAGCAGCTGTTCTTTGTGCACACATGCAGTGCAGGGGCGGGGGAAGGATGGGGACACACGCTGGGCCCCTTATGCTGTCAGGGTAGTGTGTTGGGAGAGGGCAAATGTCCTGAACTAGGTAGGACTTAGCGCAGGAGGATGTGAATGTATGTATTTCCCAACAAAAGACTCCATGTTGGGGCTGGCAGCTGGGCAATTTCTGTGCTATTTTCCCCCAGGTTTTATCTTCTCCTGACACAAACAAAGGCAAAATTCACTGGGTTCAAGGCTGACCTGCCCCACTGATCCTTGGAATGGGCTTGTACAGCACCAGTCCCTTGCAGGCATTTCCTTTATGGGTTCATAAACTCCAAGGCTGGGCTTGCCGGTGGCAGGGCTCCAGCTGATCCTTACTTGCCCTCAGTCCCAGCTGCTGGTTTGTCTAGGACATTGGTTGGGACACTGGGTGAGGATATTGTAGTTGAGATAAGCTGGGGAACTCTGAACTGAAGATGCTGAACCCAGAGCAACAGCTGATTTGCTGGGTGTTTGCAGAGCAAACTGTGCTGCTGAAAGCTTTGCCTCTCTATACCCAGAAGAAAGCAAACCCACAGCAATATTTTAGGGCAGAGAACAGGGATATTTGGGGGTTTGTTTGATTATAAGGCTATGATTGTGCTTTTAATAACATTCAGGGCTCTTCCCTCCACTGTAGGGAGGTTTTTTTGTGCTGATGATATTACTCCACCCTCTTCCCTTATCCCCACATACTTCCACACCATGAGGATGCAGCAGCTGGAAGAACAGCCACCTGGGTAGGGATGATGGTGAAGCCCCTTCAGAATTCTTTTGGGGAGTGCTGACCATACTACTGGCTTCAAAGGCAGAACAAAGTGCTCATGCCCTCTGGGCTTTCTGCTCTTCCTCAGATCTTCCAGACCATCCCCATGCTGTGTCTTCCCTGAGCAGGGACCTTCAGGGCCTTAGTGTGGCCTCGTGATGAAGCTTGGCTCAACACAGCCACAAATACATAAGAAGAAAAATCCAGTGGATCAACTCAGGAGATTAAGACTGCAGGGTACCTGGAAAAGCTGCTGCTTCCTAAATCTCATTAGTGCCACCAGCTTTCTTAATCTCACCCTTTCCTGTCTTATTTATCAGATTTCCAGGAATCAGACCAAAAAGCGACTAATATTTCTAGAGGCTGTAGAGGCTGACACACAGTCCCAAGTATTTTTATTCCAGCCAGCTAAGTGTTAGCTGGGAAACCACCAGCAATAAAAACAGCTGCTTTTACCTCCATGTCTTGTGGTTCCTGCATTTATTTAATTTCAATTCCAATTCTCCCAATTCCAAAGGGAGAGTGATGTTATTTTAGGACCTAGTCCAAAGTAAGGATTAGCAAGACTGTCTTAAAGGAACTCTGATGAGCCTTCTGCTGATCATTAGGTTTCAGAGTAAACCAGACTGTCACCTCTGTTGCTCATCTTCTAATTAAAAGTTTCTCTTTCTCAAAAACTGCTGGGCCATCATTTCTGACCTGTTCTTGCTCTCTCTGTTTCCAAGAACAGTCTGCTGATTTTGCTTTAGAGGGACCCCCTGGTCTCTCTTTTCATCTAACAAGAAAAAACTCAGCGTGAGAAACCACAGGGATGAAAAAACTGCACCAGTGGTGTTTCAGAGTCCTCTGGAGCTGGGAGGAATGTATTTTTTAGCCTTTCAGGCAGTGAAGAACTTTTATGGAGCAGAAGGAGTTGCACAAGGTTGTGCAGTTTCCTACCCTGAGAAACATGGTGGGATTTTGCCTCTCTGAAAGTCTAGGGTGCATTGGAGGTTACAAAATACAACCTGCTTTTGTTGTACTGACTTATCCCCTCTCCCCCTTCAAAGGAAGTTATAACTCTAATAGGATTTAGATATTAAAGCCCAAAGCCATGCAAAAAAATAAGTAAAATAAGCAGTTTTCACACAGAGGTTGCCCAGAAATCTGGTGCAGCAGATTCCTGTGTGGGGCTTAGAGCTGTGGAAAATATTTTCATGGAGGAGGTTCAGGAGCTTTAATTCTGAGGGTCAGCGATGACACATCTTTCCCAAATATCCTCTGGGATATTTCCTCAAACCCCATCCTTTGGACATCTAATTCTGCCAAGGTGGGATGTGAATACCAGCCTCTCCTATTCTGGGTGGGTGAGGGACAAATCAGCCAATCCCAGGTTCGTCCACAGGTCCCTGGCATCTCCTGGAGCCATGCAGTGAGGAGCTGCCTGTGTCCCATGATGAGATTTTAATTTTTCTAGCCTTGGGGACTGAATTTATTAAGCCTCTCATGGCCCCTCCTACCGTGGGAGGGACGGCTCCAGCAGCCTCTCTAATACCGGGTGTCACACAGCGGTGCCACCATTCGAGTCCCAGAGTGTCACAAGCAAAGGACACAGCAATCCAAGTGCAGCGGAAAACAAAAATAGCCCCTCCATGTGCATCACGGCAAGGTAAGATACTTCCCCTCTCCTAACTCTCACAGATGCTCCTGCCTGCTGAACTTCATCTCTGCCTGCTCTTTCCTGCTTGCCTTGAAAGTTAGCACCGAGGTGGGGGGATTTCTATCACTTTTCCTTTGTTATCTTTGGACTTTTGAGCGTGTTGGTTGGGATGCGGCAGCGAGTGATTGATCCAGCTCTTGCCTGCGTTGCAGTGAGAAACAAAGCCCAGGGAGCTGGAGAATAGGGAGAAACTGTAAAAAAAGGGGAGGGAAGGGGGTGATTTGTGAGCAGGGGGAGTTCTGGTGTTTTGCCGTGGAGGAGAAGGTGCTCAGCAGTTCTGCTTCACTTAGGGTCCGTGCTGGATGAGTTGGCTGTGACCTGTTAAAAGGAGAAACGGGAGCGGGGATGAGACGTGAACGGTGGTGGCTGGTGGGGTTGCTGTAGCCGGGGCAGTGAGGAGGGAAATGGCCTCTGAGCATTTGCAATTCTTGGGATAAAGGGCTGTTTCCATAGTAAAAGGGAGAAAGGAGCCTCTCTCTTTCTTCCCCTGAACTTGCCTAGCGTGTGAACGGGGAGTTTGACTCGATAACAAATAACCCGTGAAAGGGTAACATCTGGGAACAGCTGTAAATAATCAGGACTTGGTTAGCAAGGCTGGAAGCAACACTGTGGTCCACCATCTGTCCCGCCGCTGCACGTCACACTGGAAGTTGTGATGGGCAACTGTGTGGAGAGCATTTCGGTTCACAGCTGAAAGCAGGATTTGACCTGGCATTAGTATGTTGTTGTTGTCCGAATGCTTCCATGTTATCTGTAGGTGTAACCACAGTTAGCAATGAAACGGGGGACTTTTCACTGCTAGGAAAGAGTGAATTTTAATTCAGGATTAGGCACTCAGCTGATGTGAACCTGGGGATTGGCACCAGGCCAACTTTGAGTTGCAAAATCCAAACTCTGATTAGCTGGAGGTCCACCCCCTAGTGTACATCACCTGCTCTTCACTTCTACACTTTCTTTGGGAATCTTGACCTCACAGCGTGGCATCTCTCAGGACTTATCCCCTGATAAGTGGTGACACCAGGTAGAAGGACAAGAGAGAACAGAAATAAATTCCTACAGCTGCTCAAGGCTTTTAAGCTGCATTTAACAACAAAAAAAGGCATAATGTACCATGAAACCAGCTGGATTTTAATTAAAAAATGTTCTGAATGTGAAGGGAGCCAAAGCTGTCGCTTCCTTTCTAACTTTGCTATTGAAATGTTTAAAAGGTGTGCAAGATTTTCAGGGCAATTTGAAATCCTTACGGAGAGTGCAAACGCAAAGCTGGTTCTCGAGACCAGTCTGATGACTTCCTTATGCCAAGACATGGGACCAAGGAGGTGACCAAATGGTGTCTTTTGAGCTTTATGTATCACTTATAATGAAAATACAGTTCTTTAAAGCTTGTTGTGAGACTGCCTGCATCTCAAAAAGTACCTCTCTGAAACTTGTTACTGTACAGTTTTGCTTAGTGTGATAAAGTACCAGCCAAAATAAAGGAGAAAGTGGTTTCTATTTTTGTTTGTGTTTTTGTTTGTTTGTTTGTTTGTTTTTGGTTTTTGTTTAGAAGCCTGTGGCAGTTTGACAGTGTGCTTTTTGTTTCCTTGCCGTGTGGAAGGCCAGAAATCCTCCTTCAGGCAAACCTTTCCGAGTTACCACCCATCAACTGAGACACATGTGCTCAACTGTGGAGCAGATGCTGATACTGCTCAGTGGCACAGCCCCAGCTCGGTGACTTTGCATGGGGGAACAGGCTGCAAGGAGCTCTGGGGTGGTTGTTCCCTGTAGATTGCAACATAGTGCACATGTGCAGCAATAGCCTGGCTTTGGTCCAAACCTGATTCCGTGTCTTGGGATATTTTGCAGGAAGAGGTCTGTCCCTCATATTGGAGTGACCTCCTATGTTTTGGCTTGTAGAACTGCCCCAGAGACCTCTGTGGTGTGCAACAAAAAGGGATCTTGGGCTATGTTTTAGATGAGCAGATAGGACAAAAAGTTGGGAAGATCCTTTGGGATCCAGATCTTACTGAACGGAAAGAAAGGTGCTGGTTTGGGTAGAGCAGCATGGATCTGTGATGGACTCTGGACCATGCCTTCATGGCAGGATGAGTTCTGAAGGTACACAGTCTTGGCTCCACATTGCAATCTCTGCTCCAGCTACGCACACGTTGTGTGCAGGAGCTGAGCAGCCTGACTGCAGGTGCTCATCTCTTCATCACCTGGTCCTCATCTTGGTCTTCACTTGCTGAACACTGCTTTTCCAGCTGCATTCAAAGGAGGACCCACAACTGGCTGATTTTTGGTGGCTGAGGGCTTGGCATTTTATAAAATCCCAGTAAATGGAGGCTGTCTGTGGGGCATGTTCCCTGCAACTCTCCTCACCAGAAGGACGTTGGCCTTTGGTGCATTTTTTACCCTCTCTAGGAAAATGAGGGAAGAAGAAGAAGCAGTGGAATTTAGTGGATTGAACAGGAAGATGTCCCTGTCCATGGCAGAGGGTTGGAACCAGTTAAACTTGAAGGTTCATTCTGTGATTCATCGATTTTATGAACATGCCCACATCATGGTCTCATGTTGGTCCTATTCTGCCATTGTTTGTCTTACCAGTCTCTGTGGCGTCCCCAGGGAAGATGGAACATGATGAGAACCTGCTCTCAGGGTCAGGATTGACTCTCCATCCTCCTGGCCCGGGTCCTTTCTGGTGGTTGGGCAGCTGTAGTCTATGTGAATGCATGATGCAGTAGCAAGATCGAGAGATGAGAAATCCTGTGCTGGAACTCATCCTCTGTAGGTCTGGTGCTAAGGGAAGACTCTTGGGACCACCATAGTGTACCAGCTCTCTTCCCTCATCAACAGTTGCATGGGACGGTGACAGGGTAAGAAGTTAAGTGTGATGGTGGTGCACCATAATAGCAGCACACAGGGAAATAGGGCATGGTGGGGTGGGCGAGTGTGTACGCTTGTGAATGAGGTTGTGGCTGCTGCACATGGGGGCCGTTTTGACGTCAGCTCCAAGGGGTGCCAGAAGAAAGAAGCACATATCTGCAAGCAGGGCACGGGATGGGAGCAGCTCGATGCATCACTTTATACCCACACACTCAGGCTGTAGTCTCATTGCTTGTGCAGAAATGTTTTAGAGTCAGTCCTTGCCTTACTCTCCTGCTTCACTTCCTCTGTTCTCCAGTGCAACTGTGAGCAATTCCTTGTTTCTCCAGCTTCCATCTGCTCCAATTAGGCTGGAAGCCCCTGGAAGGTTTTCAATCCCCGAGACATTTGTACAGCGCTGAGCCTCAGTGACAATTACAGGTCCAGTCTTCTCTGCTGCCGCAGCCCCGGCTGCCGCCACCATTCCAGTCTGGTCCTTTGGGCAGCTGCTCTTAATCACTGACCTTAGTTTGGAAGGTCTCCAGAGTTGGAGAAATGAAAGACACTTTAGAAAATGGGGAGGGGGAATTGGCAAAAGCAGTTGCTTTTTAAAAGACTACTTATTTCTTAAGATGTACTTGCTGCTGATTAACCTTTGCTCCGTGATTGCTTTAATTGATTCATGCCTTAAAGCTGTCAGAAAGGTTCTGTGGGGTCATGGTGCCTCTTAAGGGCTCTCTTTGCCTGCAAAGCTTTAAAGATGTTTTGGTTGAGTAAAACCCAATTCTTGGAAGAAATGCAGGTGAATGATGTCAACCCTTTTACCTTCTCCATTCCTTAGACTTTCCTGCTTTCATCTTAGTGCTTTACTGTTGTGACCTCTTCCTTCCCTCCCTGCTGCCAGTTGGCAACCTGCTACCAAGCTGAACCTGTCCCTTATTCCTCTGCAATTCATCGTGAATGCTATTTGGGGGTGGGAGTGTTGATTTTTTGGCCCTTCTGTGAGAAAGAGGCACTGTAGGGTTGGGAACTACTGCCTGTTGGTGTCTTACATGTCTTACAGTCCCATGGGACTGCCCACGGTCCCCATGACTGCTTCATGTCACCCCATGTGCAAAATTTCTGTGGCTGTCTTTGTATGGCAACAGGATAGACCCACAGCCAAGGGGAAGATAACCCCCTGGCAGTTGTGGCCTTGTTCTCTCCATGCCAAGGTGCAGAAATTCCTTGAAGGTGAGCTGGCAGGGCTGAAATGGGCTTGCTGGGTTTAAGTGATGAATGGCCTTTTGCTGTGGGCTATACCCTGGCACTCTCGAGGTGGTGTGAAGCAGTTCATTTGTCCTATTTAGACATCTGTCTTTGGATGAGCTGAGTTGTGCCATTTCTCTTTGCTGGCTGCACTGGGCGATCAGGGTGACTGCTCAAACACCAAGCAGAGGGAGCACAAGTGTTATGAGGAGTGGCTGAGGGAGCTGTGGGTGTTTAGCCTGGATTAAAGGAAAATGAGATGGGACCTTAATGCTCTCTACAACTACCTGAAAGGAAACTGTAATCAGGTGAGGTGGGTCTCTTCTAGGTAACAGAATGAGAGAAAATGGCCTTAAATTGCATCAGGGAAGGTTCAGGAGATATTAGGAAAAATTTCTTCACGGAAAGGGTGGTCAAGCATTAGAACAGACTGCCTAGGGAAGTGGTTGAGTCACCTGGAAAAACCATGTAGCTGTGGCACCTGGGGACATGGTTTAGTGGTAGGCTTGACAGTGCTGGATTAATAGTTGGACCTGCTGATGTTAGAGGGCCTACCTATTCCAACCCTAGTGATTCTGTGGTTCTAACCAGGAAGACCAAGGGAGGAATGAAAGCACCCATCCCAAGCTCTGCAGCTAAATAAATCACTCCCATCCTCCAGGATGCTGGGATGTGAGTGCTGCTGGGTGATGATCCTGCAGATCTGACTGTGCTGTGTATCCTAGGCCCTGAGATGGTCCTTCAAGGGTCTGCCCATGGCTTATCTACACTGATCTTCTTGTCTTGCTAAATCAAATGTGCCACACAGTCCTCATCTGCTGCTCTTGTTGCACTGTTGGCACAAACCTAAACTGGGA